CCCATTGTTCTTCTTCACCTTCTTCCATTACAACACCGGTTTCTCCGTGCTTTGTCCAACAAATATAGTTTGGCATGAAACCCGACTTGAACAAGTGTGAATGAAGAGTCCTTGAGCAAGGATATTCCACCGTATTCTTACATATGGCACATGGGCAGCACATGAAACCATCGCATTTGTTTGCCTCGGCCGCACGTAACAAAGAAATGCTGCGCCGTCAATGAACTCTTGGGAGCGGCGATCAACATTATACATCCAATGACGGCTCATCGCATTACATGACATAAATACCATATTAAAACCTAGATCATAATTAATTATTTATACAACATGCGTGCCACCACAAAAGATACAAATTTATGAAAGCATCGCTACAATATAGACAATCCCAACTACCACTAAAAGAACTAAAGCTAAAATACATTTCAGTAGCAGTAGGATTTCACGACCAATCTCAACTAAAACAGACAGATCCCCCGATTGTGCAACATCTTTGGGCTTCTTCGGCTGGATCACTGCCTCATTAGCCGTCGTATCTGCCTATTGTGCAAGATATTTTTGCACGAGTTCAACATACTCTTCCTCCCAGTAGAAGCCTGAACATCGTCCACTGCCATCCCACTGAAATTAAAACAAAAAATTAGAACTTTAATCACAACCATCATGAAAATAGGTATAAACTAACCATGATCATTAAATACGATAAAATAACTCACATTGCGATCCGGACACTTGTAGAAGATACGATCCTTGTTGGGACCTTCCTTTTTCACTCGGTACTCCATCACAATCTTCGTCTCATCACGACACTTGCCTAATGGAATGAGAGGGAGGCCCGGCCTAAGTCGCTTTGGAAACCCATGAGAGGCCGAGGACCCAGAAGCAGTTGCCATCTACTCTCTATACTCATTTTTTAATACACTATAAATTTCTCCTTTTATAAACAAATAAAATTAAGAAACTATAAAATTATCTAGATCTCTAAACAATGATATTTTTAATGGTCATTGTGTTCTCGTCTTTTACTGCGGCAGGTAAGTAATTCACATGATATTTTTGCAAATTAACAGAAGAATGGGAGTGTACACACATAACAGACTACTGCGACGATATCGGGACGTGTGAATAAATAACCATCCATACTAGTTGACCTTGCTTACGTGATCATCTCGGCGAGCATTTTTCCACCGGACGGCACCGTACTTGGCCACGGAAGAGCTCCAATTCTACGAGGAAGGGAACACGGTCTTCCACGACCGTTGCCGCTCTCCCTCGTAGAATCAAAGCTCCTCCTTGACGTCCATTACCGCTCGGCAGAGAACGTGCTCGCCGAGATGAACATGGTCCGCAAGTTCAACTAGTATGGATTTTCTATAATTTTCTAACTATTTTCTAAGTTTATATTTATATATATACTACGTTTGGGTACGGTGATTGACGAGACTACTGCGGCGATATCGGGACATGTGAATAAATAACCATCCGTACTAGTTGACCTTGCTTACGTGATCATCTCTCGTGAGCATTTCTCCCACGGGACGGCACCGTACTTGACCATGGAAGAGCTCCAATTCTACGAGGAAGGAACACGGTCTTCCACGACCGCTGCCGCTCTCCCTCGAGAATCAAAGCTTCTCCTTGACGTCCGTTATCGCTTCGGCGGCAGAGAACGTGTTTCGCCGAGATGAACACGGTCCGCAAGTTCAACTAGCTACTTTAACCTTATTTCATGTAAATATGCAAGCTTGAAGTGATTTTGACCTCAAATTGCTTACAAATGAAAAAAAAACAAAATAAAGAACCATATATATATATAGTGAACAAAATGAGATAAGACAATGGTGAAAAATGAGAGTATGAGATTGGTAACCTTTACAACTGAAGAATCGACGGAGGAATCAAGAAATCGATGGAGGAATCGAATAATGGATGGAGGAACAATGGAGGGAGGGAGGAAGCAAGAACACTAGTGCAGTGAGCTTCAAAATATGCTGAGCTCGGGCTCAGGCTCGGGGAGGAAGAAGGAGACGGCCGGGATATAAAGAGGGGACCTTTAGTCCCGGCTGGTGGCTCCAACCGGGACTAAAAGTAACTTTCCAACCCCGGGCGCAGCCACGGCCCGGGAGTAGACCTTTACTCCCGGTTGGAGCCCCCAACCGGGAGTAAAAGTATACCTTTAGTCCCGGTTGGTGGCTCCAACCGGGACTAAAGGTCCCTGCCACCTCTGTCTGGCGCAGTAGCCGTTGGGGCAGGGACCTTTAGTCCCGGTTGGAGACACCAACCGGGACTAAAGGTATTTCTAATCCCGGGCGCAAAAAATTCCGGGACTAGAGCCCATTTTGGCCGAGGATCAAAGACCTGTTCTCTACTAGTGTCACAACACATGGCAAAACTACAAATATTTACTTATTGTTCACTTTTCGCACCGACAGGAAGTGTGCCTTCAAGGATGAAATTGGTCTGGTTTGTATGAAGGCCAAGAAGAAAATTAAGGATGTACTTCTTAATTGGTGTGAGAATTTCCCTTTATGAGTATATTCTTTTTCTCTTTTGGCATCGACTCCCTTGTAATTCTGTATATACTGTACTCCTCTCCATTTATATAAAATACCAAAAATATAAGTAGGGGCCTCCGCTGCTGACCCTTTCAAAAAAAAAGAGGAGAGAGATAAAGTTTAACATTTATGCTTCCATAGATTAATTAAGCAGATAATGAAAGAGCGGTCGTTATATTGGTGGTGCCTTGTCACAAGATCACTTGGTTATTAAGTATGTTATCTAGCAATCTAGTAACTCTTGGAGCAGCTAATGGTTTTAATTTAATTATATTCATGTTCCTTTTCGACCAAGGGAGCGTTGGTGGAAAAGGTAGCAAAATGCAACAATAACCCCACTCAGCTTTGAACAAACAAGACCAACATCGCATGCAGGAGGTGTGACCAAAAAAGAAACTAGACACCCAGCACAAATAAGCTGCGTATGCATGCATTGACCGGCCGAACACCAGTGAGGTGAGGTGGACTAGCATTATATACGTTACGTTGACCCCCGGCCGGATAGTTGGTAGAAGCACACACTCATGCATGTCAGTGGATAACGACAGCGACCGCGGGAAAATGTCAACCCACCATGCATATGCATGCTGCAACACTACCAGGAGGCCACGCCCGTTTCCACTATATCCAATTCACACAACAGATAAAGTTAGAGCAGTCAACTCCTGACAGATTGATGGATCGATTAAACAAATATGGGGCCTTACAGCACTACTAAAGATCGCCACTAGCAACTAATAACAAACCCAGTGCGACGAGCGTGTTCCTGTCGACTGTCGTTGTTCCTGATCTCCTGTGGTCAAGGAAGACTAAGGACTCTTGGACTCTGATCCTAGCTAGTTACTGTCACCCTCTCCTTTTCAAATCATAGTCGATTTAATTTTACCTAGCTTTTACTGTATAATACAGCTAGATATACATTATGTCTATGTCTAGATGCTGATTAAAACTAGTATTCATTTAGAAAAGACAAAATTACTTGAAAATTTGGAGAAGGCGGAGTAGGTGGCAACATATATACTTACAATAGTGTAGTGCATGCTGGTTTCGTTCCTGTGTTTCCCCAATGGCCAATGGCCAATGCAACAAGAACGTGGCCGGTGCACTGCTGCCCTGTCTGGGCCTGTCATCGTTCGACCATTTTGTAAAAATACGCTAATTACATTTTGTAAAAAGTACGCTAATGAATAAGGAGTAATAAGTAATGTAATCACACGGAGCTCGCAGAGAGCATTCACACCAAGTAGATAACATACAATACACACACGCAGGAGATGAACTATAAGGTGGAGTTCACGTACGCAGAGAGAGAGACAAGACACATAAACTACACCTTGGAACGGAAGACGTGGCCCATCATATATATCTGCATCGTTATTTTGCAAGCCGAAGGTTGCTTTGCATGCAGTTAGTGATATGATGACGGCCCAGGCCGGCCGTCCAATGTGTAGGAACTAGGAAAAGAAGTGTTATAATGCGTAGCAATGCAATGCAAATTCAGTGCCCTTCAGCTCGATCAGCTTGTTAGAAACAATAAGCAATATAAACGACGAAGAACAGTAGATCAAACACAGGGGATACGAGATTTTAACGTGAAAAACCCTCACAAGGAAGAAGGGGAAAAACCACGAGCACCACCCAGCAAATCTTCACTATATCGGGTGAGGTTACAAACGTCGGGGATTTATAACTTTTCTTATCCCAAGACGATGGCTTACAGGAAGTATATATAGAGATGGAAAAACCCTAATAGGCGACGATCCGCTTCGCTTCGGCCCAAGCCTCTCGGCGACGGGCCTCGCTTCGCTCCGTCAGAAGTTAGCCTTTATCTTGTACATAACTGAATTTGGATCACAACTCCACAAACTCCACCTTGAGACAAATTCCTTCTTGTAGCATAAAACGAACCTTCACCCTGAAACAACAAAGAAATACTTCCGGTGTCAAATAGTCTCTTGGGCTAAACGGTTATACCAACTAAGCTTGAGCAAAGCTCAAATTTAGCAACAGGAACTGGCTTTGTCAACATATCAGCAGGATTATCATGTGTGCTTATCTTGCATATCTTCAGCTCACCTTGCGCGACAACATCGCAAACATAATGGTATTTGACATCAATGTGCTTCGTTCTCTCATGGAACATCTGATCTTTAGTGAGACATATAGCACTTTGACTGTCACAAAATAAATTAATGCAAGAATCATCTCCACAAAGCTCAGCAAACAAACCTTTCAACCAAACCGATTATTTACATGCTTCAACAACAGCCATGTATTCTGCTTCAGTGGTAGACAGGGCAACAATGGGCTGCATTGTTTCCCTCTAACTCACAGCACAACCACCAATAGTGAACATATAACCTGTGAGAGATATCCTCTTATCCAAATCGGCAGCAAAATCTAAATCCATGTAGCCAGTGAGTCCCTTATCAGTCTTGCCAAACTTCAAACAGGCATTTGTTGTGCCACGAAGGTACCTGGAAATCCACTAAACAACCTTCCAATGTTCTTTACCAGGATTATCCATTCATCACGACTAGCAACACAACCAGCAAGAACAACAAGAATGTCTCCTGAATCAGAACTATCAACAGCAGAGACAACAAAGGCCTTACCATCACCATCGGATTGGTTTTTCGATTTATATGTACCGTTTCTTTTCTCCTTATTCTGTAGCTTCCAACAATCATCAATGACATGAGTATCTTTCTTACAATACCTGCAGAACTTATCCCTGCCTCTGGACTTTGAACGGCCTTTATCGTTCTTGCTCTTGTCTCGATTATTGTTGTTGTTGTAGGTTTTCTGCTCGGGCCTGCCTCTAACCTGCAACACTTCGCCCTTGGAGGATGACACGTCAGACTGAACCATACCTTTCATCTCCTCCCTCCACTGGAGGGCCTCATATACTTCTGCAAGGGTTAGTTTATCATGGCTTAATAGTATGGTATCTCGGAAATTTACAAACGAACTAGGCAGTGAGCATAATAGTAGAAGAGCTAAATCTTCATCATCATATTTTACCTCCATCGACACTAGGTCGTCAACGGTCTCCTTAAAGATCGATAAGTGGTTCATCATCGAACCACCTTCTTGTAGCTTGTGCGTGAACAACTTCATCTTCACGTGCATCTTACTGGTTAGATCCTTGGACATGCAGATCGATTCCAGCTTAAGCCAAAGTTCTGTGGCAGTTTTCTCCTGCAGCACTTTTGCAAAATATCATTATGTAGATGAAGTTGAATCAGAGACAGAGCCTTATGATCCTTCCGCTTCTCTTCAGCGGTCCATGACTTCTGCCCTTTGCCTCCAAAACCATCCAATGCCTCATCAAGATACGAAGATTGTGCCAAAATCGCCCGCATATTGACTTGCCACAGTGCAAATCTCATCTTGTAATCCAGCAGCGGTAGATCAAACTTCATCGATGCCATCGTGAAACCCTAATGTGAAACCAAGCTCTAGTACCACTTGTTAGAAACGATAGGCAATATAAACGACGAAGAACAGTAGATCAAACACAGGGGACACGAGATTTTAACATGGAAAACCCTCCCAAGGAAGAAGGGAAAAAACCACGGGCACCAGCCAGCAAATCTTCACTATATTGGGTGAGGTTACAAACGTCAGGGATTTACAACTTTTCTTATCCCAAGACGACGGGCCTCGCTTCGCTCCGTTAGAAGTTAGCATTTATCTTGTACATAACTGAATTTGGATCACAACTCAACACAGCTGGGTGCTAACAAATAAAGGGCCTCGACTTTTAGCTACACTACGCCAGATTTGGACATCATTGCCGGCCTCATCACTGCCGGATTTGTGAGAACCGGCAGTGATGTTCCTTCACTGCCGGTTATGAGCTCGAAAATGAGAAAATGAATGGGCTGGGTTAAAACCGGCAGTGAAGCACCACATCACTGCCGGTTTGTGGCTTGAACCGGCAATATTTTGGCGGCCACTCATCACTGCCGGTTCAAGCCACAAACCGTCAGTGATTGGGCTCTATCACTGTCGGTTCTAGCCAAGAACCGACGGTGATAAGCCTACAACACAAAAGGCTGCAGCCGTCCTCTTCTTCCTCCTCTCTTCCATCCCGAGAACAGAGGCGCACGTTTGGGCCCTTCCCTCCATTGTTGCGGCTGCTCTTCACCATGAAGCTAGTGATTGGATTTTGAAGAATGGCTTGATCTTTTTGCTTTAAGGTTAGTAACAAACATCCACTCCTTTGATTTAGTTGCTTAATTTGCTTCGTTTTGATGGCTACATTGCTTGATTCTCATTCTAGTTCTTTCTCCATTCTAGAGAGCACTTTTCCAATTGGACATTTGTGCAAGGCTCAAAATGTGGTGAATCCATCATCCAAATGGTTGGTGTCTATGAACACATTTAAATTCGTGGCTAATTATTCCATGGTGGTCAAGATCATCATTGTTAGTATGTGATGCTATAATTAGTTCTTAGAAGTAGAGTAGAATAGTTGTTCTTCAATATTGTGCAATAATTGTTTTTTACTACGATTTTCAATTTACAGGGCCGGGGCTACCAATTTCAATTTTTCAATAATTAGTGTACAATAATGTTTTCCAAAAATGGTACTTTCGAGCTGCAATTGTTGTTCATGAAGCTTGATTTCTTATTAATTCTTTGTAATTACTGTCTCAGTATTTTTTTTGTGTGAGAGATGGATCGAGAGTGGATGCATCTATCCCGAACGGACAAGCGGTACATGCATGGCATCAGCCAGTTTATCACCGATGCCAAAGCCCATGCTAGGAATGGGAACCCTGTCTTCTGCCCATGCAAAGATTGCAAGAATCAAAGGAACTTTCGTCAAATTGAGTCTATACGATCGCACTTGATTACCAGGGGATTCATGCCAAACTATACGGTATGAAATATGCATGGCGAGGTTGGTGTGAATGTTCTGCAGGAAAATGATGATGATGTGGACATGCCTGACGTAGCCATCCACGATGGTGATGAGGAACCCGGTGTCAACACGGAACCTATGGCCATAGTTAATAATGTGTTTAGGAACACGCTAGCTGACGACACCGAGGATAACGATGGCATTTCTCAGCTGCTACGTAATGTAGAGACCGGATGTCTTAGTGAAAGACAGCTGAGAAAGCTAGAGAAAATAAGACAAGATGGCAAAACACAATTGTATAGGGATTGTCCAATGAGCAAACTAGAAGCCGACATCATGCTGTTAGAGTTCAAATCGACAAACGGATTGAGCGATAAAGGCTTCGATCAGTTGTTAGGTATAATAAGGAAAATGCTACTAGAAAAAACAACACTACAAGAAATCTAACTTTTTGTGACAAAATGGCTCATGACGGGGATAGTTTTTGTCATATAATGTCACTTTTTGTGATGATTTTTTTTGTGTGGTCACAAACTTATGAGCCCCAGAATTATTTGTGACGACCCCCGTTATTGTGTCACATAAAGGTACGTAGTTTCGTCACAAAATGTCCCACGCCGGGTGCCCGTTGTCGGTTTTGTTTATATGACACTATGACCTGTTTTTTGTGACTATCTGGCGGCGTCACATTAAAAAATGACCGTTTGAAGCGTCAATATACCCCTGCAGGTGGACCTTACCCCTATCGGTTGACCATTGTCATTATCCCCTTCTCCCTGACCCGAACTGAAGCGGAGGGCGGTGAGCATGGAGCTGGCGGCGGCGCTGGCGCTTGGCGGAGCGAAGGGCGACGAGTGGTAGGGCTGCATTGTAGCGAGCACGGCGAGGATTTGGGTGGAGGCAGATCGCCCTCTCCCCCAACTGACGGCATGGCGGCCTCTTCCCCAAGTGTTCCTTCTCCCCTAAGGTGCTGATGGTGGCTACTGCCACCGCCATTCCCCTCCCCGTCCCCCCACCATTTGGTGGTCTATGTTGATGCCCTCATCCCCTCCCCATTTGTCTTTGAGCGTTGTCTACCTTTTTCTCTCAGCGCGGCTAACCCTAGCGGCTAGCAGCGAGCCACGGAGGCAGAGAAGGTCTAGAGTGTGTGGTGCTTGATGTTTATTTGTTTTTTAGTTCGAATTCCTGATTGAATGGCTAGAACTCTGTGGATATGTATCCATTATCAACTTTGTGCTTCTGTTGGAGTATCCATTCTCCAGAAGGCTAGAAGGCTAGAACTCCGTGCTTCTGTTGGAGTAACTTTTGCAAATTACAAAAACTGAATGGTTTAGTCCCCTGAAATGAATTGATGATATGAAACTGAAAGACATATATGTAGATTTATATTTTTATGTTTTGGTGGACTTGGAAGAAATGTTGAATGGATAGAATTGGCTTGGCTGCTACACTTTGCTAATTAGAAATTTGCTCCTTCGATGACCTAATGAATCCCCTGTCTCTCATTTAGGCATCATGTCGCAGGCGTTGTCATCTATTGCTCGCACTCGGCGGTCAGCTAGGGTTGCCCCCCTTGCTGTTGTTCGTGCTGTAGCCCCTCTGCCCATTGCTGCCGATGTGGAGCCAATGGAGGATGATGTCACCGGGTTGCCATTAATAATGTGCCCAGATTGCAGGGACGTCAGGGTGTTTGCTGCCACAACGATGCAATCTAAGTGTAACAATGGAAAGAGATATTTCAAGTGTCCCAGGAAGAAGTTTTCAAATGCTAGTGCAGTGGTTCAATTTGCATTTTGCCGCAATTTCATTTATGTTTGCTCCAATTTCATTGCATGTTGTTGTCGTTTGGATGCAGGGGAAATGTAAGAGCTATTGGTTTGGGGAAGAATATGTGGTGTACCTTCATGATAATGGTTATCTACTTGCAGCTGGGTCGACCATCGCAGAAGCTTTGACAACTGAAGTCCCTGAGGTGGTGGGAAAAATTGATAGCTTAGAGAAAAATCTAAAAAAGGTGAAGGAAATGGTTGGCAAGAACAGGGAAGGCATTGGAAGCTGCATTTGTCTTGTGTGTGGATGTGTGAATGTAACACTATTCTTAGTGTTGGAATGGTTGTAGCTGTTCTGTTGAAGTAGGCAAGTTGTAGCTTTTCTGTTGAAGTAGGCAATGCTGTTGAAGAACATGTTGTAGTGTTGAAGAACATGTAGTATTGAACCTGTTGTGGTGGAATATGGGCCTTTGTGCTCTTGGACATGTTATGTTTGAAATAAAGATCCCTTGCTTGGATGTGAAAATGTTGTGGGTTGAAATTTTTGCAACATGTTTGTGAAATTCTTGGACATCTGTTCTGTGCATTGTGATGTATGTTGGGAGCAAATTATGGCAGCTTGTATGTAACTTTCAGCATATATCTATTGTGACACATTCTGTACTTTCCATGACAAATTCTGGGCATTCCATGACATTGTCATGTGTCATGAAAACACAAAAACTTTGGACTACATATATAAACATCATGTGAATGAATTCTGGGCACTGTAACATCCTCATACATCAAGCATGCACTAAAAACAGAATCATTGCATAGTTCCAGAAATGCAAAAGTTACTCATCATCACTCATACAAGTTCATAGTTCACAAATAGTTCCAGAAATGCAATAGTTAGTCATCATCACTGTCTTCTGACATGTTGCCTTCATCTGGAATATGGTACTAAAGGAAGGTTTCATCTTCATCATCGTTGTCTATTTCTTCACCTTGAGCTCTATGTTGTCGTCGACGGATGGTCTCGACAATGTCTCTACTAATAGGGCTGCCTGGATCATTGTCCATGTTCAACAAATCCATACCAGGATCTATGTCTCCCAATGTACCATTTTCCAATGAAGTACTCTCCTCTTGGTATGCCTCCTGACATCTCATTTGTATTTGTTCATGAATTGGTTGCTTTTCGTCGGACTCTTCAACATCAAATATATGTCAGTGGCCAAATTCTTGTACCACTCGCCAACTTGGACCTAACTTTGTATCTTCCAAGAAAAATACTTGTGAAGCTTCCATGGCTACAATAAAAGGATCAGTCTTATACCATCGGCCCTGGATGTTAATGCTCTTGAAGTAACCATCATATTTCATCCTGTATGTCCTTCCATCAAGATGGTACCATTCACACCGTAATAATATAACAGTTCCATCTCCTCTGCTATTCCTTACATAAGTCAACTCGATAATGTCTGTGATTGTCCCATAGAAGTCAATAGTGTCATCATTGTGAGTACCTGCACATTTGATGGTGGAGTTTTGTGTCTTCCTGTGTTCCTCACGAGCCAAAGTGTGGTATCGTACCCCATTGATTATATAGGCTGTGTATGAACGCATACGCCTAATTGGGCGACATGCGAGTGAGTATAGGTCTTCATCAACATCTGTTGAGCCTTCACATTTCAATTTGGTAATCTGTAGGTTCAAAAGAAATACAATTAGTGAGTTCAAAAATGTATTGAATCATAAATTATACAGTCATGTTGTTGAAGTTGCACACACATGATCCTCGAACCATGCAGCGAAGTGTGTTGGCATCATTGTATCAATATCGTTCACCCCTTGTTGTTCTAATTCCTCCCTAAACTTGCTGCAATAATAAAGGTAGAAGTTAATCAGTTTATTGTGACACTAATATTGAATATAGTTGACTAAAATGACAAATACTCACTCTTTGTATTCATCAACCTCTTCGCAGTTATTCAGAACAAACCAAACCATGGAGTCATAGTCCTTATCTTGATACTGAAGATTCGAAGCACCGAGCAGGTTAATACCATGGCCAACAATACAAAAACCATTGGGTGAGATGTGTTGGTCAGCATCTAAGTTTCTTTCAGGCCTAGTGAACCTATTAATAATGTCACTAAAATATGTTGAGCACTGGGTCATACACTCATAGGCGGTGTATGCCTCTGCAATAGAGCCTTCTGGTCTTGCTTGATTGCGGATGAAACGCTTAAAGGTGCCCAATCTTCTCTCAATGGGATACATCCATCCATAGTGAACCGGTCCCCTAAGGAGTGCCTCATTAGGTAAGTGTATTGCTAGGTGAACCATAACATCAAAGAATGCTGGAGGATAAATTTTCTCCAGCTTGCAAAGGATGAGTACTATGTCTTTCTTCATCTGGTGTAGTGCATCTACCTTTAGTGTTCTCGAGCAAAGTTGTCTAAAAAATCTACCCAATTCAGCAAGTACTTCATATACATCTTTGCGCACCAAACCACGAATGCCAGCAGGTAAAATACGTTGCAACAATATATGACAGTCATGTGTTTTCAGCCCATGCATTGATCCTCCTCCCTCCATATTGACACATCTTGATATATTGGAAGCATAACCATCTAGAAATTTAACATTGCTGACAAACTGCAAGAACTTCTTCTTGTCTTCAGGTTTTAGAACATAAGAAGCTCTGGGCTTATTTGAGTCTCCTACCAAATGAAGCTCTTTTCTTATACCTCTGTCTTCCAAATCTAGTCTAGCAGCAACTGTGTCCTTGGTCTTATTTGGAGTATTAAGTAGAGTGCGCAAAATGTTTTCACATATGTTTTTCTCTATGTGCATAACATCAAGGTTGTATTGTAGCTTCAGATGTGACCAGTATGGCAAATCATACATGCTAGCCTTCACATGCCAAACTGGTTCTCCTTCACGGCGCCGTTTCCTTGATTGCTACTTATCTGGATTCTTGCCTGGAACATAGCAAACTTCATCCAACCTGGCCATGACCTCGTCTACACTAAATTTCCTTGGCTGCTCTCTTTTTTCATACCTGTCAAAAGATCTGTTTGTCCTCCATTCATGGTCGCTAGGGAGGAAACGTCTATGGTCTATGAAACCAATTTTGTTTCTAAGACCACAGGAGCATGGATTCTCATCACAGTTAACACATGCGAAGTAACCCCTAGTGGTTCTGCCTGACATGGAACCTAAAGCAGGGTAGTCATGGATTCCCCATAGAATCGCTGCACGCAGATCGAAATCTTTGCCTTCATATGCATCATAAGTACGGACACCGTCCCAAAGACTAAGCATGTCTTTTATAAAAGGCTGCATGTACACATGGAAATCTTTGCCTGGTGATTTTTTGCCTAGAATTAGTAAAGCAAGCATATAATTCGATTGGTCCATACACATCCATGGTGGTCAATTGTAGGGAACTACTATCACTGGCCAGATGCTATATGAATTGGTCATCTGACCAAATGGGTTGAATCCATCAGTAGCAATGGCTAACCTCAAACTGCGGGGATCATCTGCAAAAGACTTGAAAGTATCATCAAATTCTTTCCAAGCTTCTCCATCAACAGGATGTCTCATTTCATTCAGAACTGGTACCCTCTTTTCCTTGTGCCATCTTGCATAATGTGCACGCTGCTTTGACAAAAAGAACCTTTGAAAGCGAGGAATTATTGGAAAGTAACGCAGGACCTTGTGAGGAACTTTGTTTCTGCCCTCCTTGTTTACTTTCCATCTTGTGAAGCCACAAACTGGGCAATGTTGATCCTTTGCATGGTCATCCCAAAACAAGGCATAGTCATACTTGCACACATCAATTTTCTCATAACCAAAACCAAGCTTCCGGAGTAGAGCTTTCACTTCGCTATAGGACTTAGGGAGACCAGGCACATTTTTCAATGCATTTGACAAAACCTCAAGGAATGCATCGAACCCAGAATTTGTGATCCGATTGTACACTTTTATATGCAGCAGTTTAATAATGAAACTTAGCCTAGACTCCTCGGTGCAACCTGGATAAAGCTCACACTTTGCCTCCTCTAGGATTTGTTTATATAAATTACCACCGAAGCCATGGCCTGCTGCGGTGTGCAAATCTTGAACCAACCCCGCAACTCCTCGTTCACTATCTTCTATGACATCTTGCGCTAGTCCTTCATCATGAAGGGGGGGCTGCTCATTTTCATCATGTAGCTGGTCATTTTCATCCCATAACAAATCTTCATCAAGGGGGGGCTGGTCGTTTTCATCTTGTATTTCACCATCTACCTCTCCATGGTGAATCCAACTTGTATACCACCTACAAAAACCATTGATCTGGATATCCTCCTCTACATCAGCTTGACTTTTTCTTTTCGGTTTAGGCATTGACGGCATGGGCACTTGATTTTGTCATCTACACGAAATCTACTTCTCACATGTTGCATAAATTGGTCAACACCAGCAATATAGACCGGATTAAATGGTAAGCTCTTATAAATCCAGCTTCTGGCCATCTACTACCTGGATAAATTTCAGTGCTACAATGTTACAAATCCATCACCTTGTTACAACCTAAAGCTTGTGCAAATCGAGGTTCTATCCATCAGCTTGTGCAAAGTTTAAAAAGGAAAAAAAACTCACCTTCTAGCGCCCCGAGAGGCAGGTTGCCCAACGAACCTGCTGCCTGGTGGCCGGCGAGCCACCACTCTGGGGAGGTCAACAGGGGAGGCCGCCGAGGCCCCACCAGGGGTGCCCGTTGAGGCACGACCTTGGTGGCCTGGCCGGCGAGCCAACCCTGGGGCCGTCGAGGCCCCACCAGGGGTGCCCTGCAGCTTGGGTGGACGGGAGGCTGGTTGTCGAGGACGGGTCAGGGTGGGGGGTGCTGTCACCGCAAGGCAGCAAGCTTGGGTCGTCGGCGATGGGTCCGGCTAGAGCGCCAACTCGAGGCAGAGTGGGCGGCCAGTGGCCAGACTTGCTGTTCTTCAGTTTACAACAAGAAAGAAATGCTGGTTGTTTGAATGACAAGTGGGCCCTAATGACAAGTGGGGCCAAGCAGGTTGTTTCAATGACAAGTGGGCCCTGCATGGTACTAAGCCATTCTGGGCATGAGTTCATCGTAGAACTTTGTTTCTTTTTTTAATCCATGGTAAAATGTTCAAACTTGTTAATCTCCCTCATACATAGTCCAAATTTGATGATTTTTTTTTCTAAAATTTTCTAAAATCATGCTCTATCAATGCATGTAGGTCATTTAATAATTTGACAGAGTATGCACAGTTCATCATTTCAATTTTCAAAAAATGCTAATTTCTCACTAAAATTTGTAGTGCCTCAACTCAACTATGAGAGT